GCCACCATGGTGATGCAAACAGCTTTTGCTTTTATTTTTATTTTATGAGAGTCGAGTTCAAGTGTATTTTTTAGGGAGAAAGTATGGGAGAAATGATTAGACTGAACATTTGCTGTTACTTCAAACTTTTAGCTGAATCTGAGGCCAGGGCGTAAGAAGACCTGGAAGGATCTTCTTTTTCAGCTTTAAGATTATACAGATTCTTTCTGTTGAAGCTTTACATTAACAAGGAAGAGCACTGTCTGCGGCTTTCACCCTTTGTTTCTTACATAGCATTCGCTTCCTGGGATGTCTTTCAAGACTTGGCAGCTGTATTTTATCTTTATTTTGTCATCTGTAACAGGATCTCTCTAAAGACAGACAGATTCATTTTATAGATATGGAAGCAGAGGCCACCTGGGGTTAAGTGGTTTGTCTGCATCACAAGTGAACTGTGTAGAACCAAGGGCAGCACACAGTATCAGGCATATTTCAGGAAATAAAAAGCAGTGCTCGTGTATCTATAACCTTGAAATAATTTTTTTCGATTGGTATGATTTTGAATTTGAGCATGTGCTTGCATTTGATTGAGTTCAGAGATGATATCAAATTCAGCCTTGTATCTCAACTACCTAGTGCTGAGCTGGATTTGACACAGTCACTTGATAAATCTGTGTGGCATGAAGGGAAGTGTCCCAGGAAAGTAACATTTTTCTGGCAAAATGTAGTAGTATTTTCATTTTTAATTATTGAAACACTGATGTTTTTCAGTTACTACACTATTATTCTCTCTTGCCAAAACTTAAAACTCAATGAGCAATGATTTTACCTGAAATTTTGTATTGGTGAGAATGAAGATTTTGGAAATGGAACTGAATATCAGTCTTTGGGTATCTTTTGTCATTTCTTTATGTCTCTATTGGGGTCTGACAACAATGAATAGAATGACTTTTACCACTGTTACAAATACTAATGGCATTTATTACACATTCTGTAAGAGCCACAGAACATGCTAGAGGATGTATACATATTGAAATACTTAATTTGCATAACACACCAGGGAGGTAGGTCTTCTTATTGCCATTTTACCCTTATTGGTATATATTGAGTCCCCTGCCCAAAGTCACACAGCCAGTCAGATAGGGGTAGCAAGGGCTAGTTAATATGGTAAGGAGTTGATGATCAGCCTCCAAAAGCAGTAGTTATTATGGATGATGGTTATAATGCAGGAGCACAAAACACAAAGAGCACACAGCATGCTAGTATGAGTAAGTTTATGAGATCAATTCCCTGCCTGATAGCAAAGACAGTCAGCATAAAAGCTATTTCTGCTTGATGGGAGAGGAAACTTAAGGGTATGTTAGGTGTAAGGGTGTGGGAAGTGCTCACGCTATTCCAAAATTAAAATTGTCCTTTAGAGAATACTACTCTTCAACATTCAGCTATAGGAGTGGAATAAGGAAACAGCCTGAGGCACATTTTATCAATTTCACAATTTACCTAATGTAAGTCTTGATATGCTCTATGATTAAATATTACAAAGAACAGGATAGAACATTCTTCCCTTGCTCTTTCCCTAAGAGAAATCTGTTGCTGTCTGTTGTTCAGGCTTCTGGCCGAATGTGCCATCCCACAGTGTTTCAGCAGAGTGCTGCCAGAGGAGAATAATAGCACTCCCAGTGTTATCTGCTGACACGAAGGACAGGAACACACTTACAGCCTCGTCTTGGCTTCCTGCCTCTTGTTAAGGGACCAAACAGCCAGGCTCACTGACAACCTCCCTGAGACATACTAGCTTACTCTAGCACTATTTAAATCTCTTTGTGTGGTGTTTCTTTCAAGCCTTATATCTTTTAGATCTTATCTTTTGCCCCTTAGACTAATGGAACAAGAAGTATAATGTATTGAGAGGTGGACTTGACCTCTTTTAGACTCCAGCAGGAACAGACTTCAGTCCAAACCCAAACTGAATCCTTTGCCTCTCGGGAGGTGAGAGAGGCTCAGACCTTCTCGATTTCTTGAGACTATGGGTAAATTAAAAAGTAGAGATGAGCTAGCAAAGCAATTGGATATTATTAACTGTTTACTAAAATAAATACTTTTAGCACAGCACAATGTAATGTAACATCAAAACATAGGATTTCACATTCACAGTGTTTATTAAAACTTCATACTCTGTTTCAGGTAGTTTTAGCAAATCACAGGTTACAAGATTAAGGTTGTCTAGTGAGTGTTTTATGTTTTTCAATTTGTAGAATACATCTCTGTTACTGTGTGTATTCTCATTCAAAACTGAGTTTTAGTATCAGAATATGAGGATTTCTGGCAATGTGAATTAATTATTCCACAATTCTAGTTATAATCAGTCCTTCCTTAGAGGCTCTGTCCTTAGAATAAATGCAAGCTTTTATGCTTTGTGTTAATTTTTTAGGTTTCATTTTGATAAACCTAACCTATGTAAGTTTGAGCCCAGACTGGGCAATTTAGTGGCTTAGCAAGACCCTGTCTCAAAACAAAAAAGCAAACAAACAAACAAACAAAACCACCTAACTTAAAAAGCCTAGACCAATGAATTGAATGTGTAAGTTTTTGAAATTTAGAATATTTGCCTTTTAATTGTAAAATCTTTTTATAAAGCATTGCAATTTAAATTATTAGAAACTCTCTAAAATGACTTGTACTCTTATAATCTTATTTTCTTTATTTGCCCTCCCTCCATCCCTCTTCTAGAGTAGATAAGGTTGAAGCAGGACATCAGTTCTGTGCAGACAGCGACCTAATGCCTGTCCTGCTGTGCTAGTACTGGTGTGGAAGTGCTGTCCCTCTGGGCTTCAGTTTTGTATCTCCTAGGTAGGATGATAGGGTTTCATTTCTCAAGTCTCTTTTAGTTTTAAAAGATTGATTTTTCTTAACCCCTCTCTCCATTTTCTGCCTAATTACCCCCAGGTGTGTGTAGGCAGTTTTGCTACTTAGCTCAAGCGTCTTGATCTTTAGATACCCGAGATCTTCCTGCCCCTGTCTTCTGAGTGCTGGGATGACAGAGTGTGTATCAGATCCCTAGAATATTTTAACACCTGAGATCCAAAGCTATTGTCACGGTCCAATGTCAAACAAACCATCTGCTTACTTTACAACCAAAACGAACACGTAATCAGCATAGATTTAGATCTATTTTTGTCTTTAACCTGGTTGTGATAAAATGTTTATTTTGTTGTCATAGTGACTAGTTTAAACCAAGTAAACTCAAATTACTATAAAAATTTAAAAATAAAAGAAAACTAAATTTTTTGGCTCAGTTGCCATGTATAAGTCTGCACTGAAAATTTAGGGCACTAGATGGCAATAAAAGTGCATCACATAACCAACATTTCCTTGGTTGGTCCAGCATTAAAATCCTGGAGATTGAGGCCAAAACAGGTTAATGCATTAGTTAAAGAAACAAAGTCAAATATAATCAGGTGTTAGAGTATTAGCTAATATTCTGAATGTGTTCAGTAACCCAATGCTTGTTGAAAGAAAAGATTATTAAAATAGAAATTAATCTGTCTTACTGTTGAGTATATCTTCAAGCTAGTTCTTGGTGTAAGAATTGGCAATAGACACATACATCCTATCAAATGTGTCTAATTCATATGTTCCTCTCCAGTTTTGGTTTTCACTTTTTAAAAATAGCAATTGTTTGGGATAGAGTTGCCTCGCATACATTATTCATTAATAGAGTAGTATATTCTTCTAAGGAACATGAGCCATAAAACACTGGGGCTCTGAAGTAGAAATGGCTGACTTACTGTAAGCTGTTGGCTGGGCCATTATTGACTGGCAGGCTCCACTGGAAGCACTCTGCGAGTGGATTAGGTTGCCCTGGAAATGCCTTCCTGAAACTCTAATGATGCACTTAAGGGAGCCCTGCGGGACAGGAGTAAAATGTCTCTTAGCAGGCGTGTCTTCCGCCGGGGTCCTCTTGGGATGAACTGGGAGTGGGCAGGGGCATGTCCAAAGAGAGCTCAGTAAGGGAGCAGCTCTAGAAAAGGTTGCAGGTGGTAATGTCTTACAGGTAAGCCAAGGTAAAGATTTAGGGTTAGAAACCGTGAGCTGTCTGTGGGTATAAATGTTTCATTATTCATTTTGAAAGAGCAGCATTAATTCCTGTGCATGACCTGTGTGTGTGTGTGTGTGTGTGTGTGTGTGTGTGATTTATTTATTTATTTGAAGTGATAGGAGCAAGGGAATGGAAGAAAAAAAGGGAAGACATTTGAGTGAATATGATTTTAATCAAAGGATAAAAAACACTTTGTAGCTTGAACATTGGGTCATTCGGTGGGAATTTTTATAAAAACAAATCTTTGGAAGGTAAATGCACGCTTCAGCAGAGAAATTCCTTGCATCTGTAAACGGTTTCTTTGAAGGTTTTTTTTCCAAATGAAAGTCATTTTTGTTTATCTCACGAGTGGGGTGGAGGGGTACTGCTCTGTGTGTGTGTGTGTGTGTGTGTGTGTGTGTGTGCGCGCGCGCTCGCAACCGCCCGCGCGCGTGTGGTGTGGGTGTTCGTGGAGGTGAGGGCAAGAAAGAAAAGGTTGGAAACTCAGGACAGGACAGGGAGGAAAGAGGCTGCCGCGCGGGTCTCCGCCCTGAGCCCTGCGCGAGCGCCAGGAAGTCGCGTGCTCCCTGCCTAGCTCGGCGTCCCCTCAATCCTGGCAACCTGTCACCACCCAGGAGGACGTGACTCGGAGCTGCCTCCGCGTTCTCCAAGCCATATTCCTTTAAGATGATGTAATAGTCATTTCCCTGGATGGTTTCTTGCCTGCACTGCTGAAACAACAGCATCGAACTGCACCGGGAACTGTGGAACCACCCAGCTCCGCCGGAGGAGCAGAGCCCCGAGCCCCCG